ATTTTAAAATTGAAATATATATACATGTGGCCGATGAAAACATCACGGGAGCACATCATGCAAAAAGTGTCTATGTTGCCTTGCCAATGCATGTGTGCAGCAACTGTGGCATTACGAGCTACAAGTATTCATTGTGAATGTCGGCGTGCGTCAATGGGGTTTCAAATTTATAGGACCAGAGTGCTATGCCAGGTTTCTTTCGGACCGGTTGGTGACCCAACCAGGGTGGCGCATATAGCCATATCCTATCTCCCTTGGTCGCCTCAGGCCTTGGATTTCCGGGGTATGTGGAAGGTTTAGGGGATGTTTTTGACTAGATGGCGATGCCGCCTTGCCCATGGCAGTAGTAATTCTAGTAAAAGCAGTAATAGTAGGAGTAGTAGTAAGTAGTATTAGTAAGTAGTAGTAGTAGTAGTAGTAGTAGTAGTAGTGGTAGTGGTAGTGGTAGTGGTAGTGGTAGTGGTAGTGGTAGTGGTAGTGGTAGTGGTAGTGGTAGTGGTAGTGGTAGTAGTAGTAGTAGTAATAGTACTAGTAATAGTACTAGTAATAGTACTAGTAATAGTACTAGTAATAGTACTAGTGCTAGTGCTAGTGGTAGTGGTAGCAGTAGTAGTAGTAGTAGTAGTAGTAGTAGTAGCAGTACCAATAACTCTGGTGGTAGTAGTAGATCTGGTGGTGGTAGTAGTAGTAGTAGCAGTAGTGGTAGTAGTAGTAGTAATAGTAGAAGTAGTAGCAGTAGTACTAGTAGTGGTAGTAGTAGTAGAAGTAGTTCTAGTAGTACTAGTAGTATTAGTAGTACTCGTACTCGTAGTAGTAGTAGTAGTAGTAGTAGTAGTAGCAGTAGTAGTAGTAGTAGCAATAGTAGTAGTAGTAGTAATAATAATAGTGGTAGTGTTGCTTTAAACATGTAACCTGCCTAACCGGTTCGGTTAGTGGAATTAGCTTCGGTTCGGTTTTTCCACGGTTCGGTTCGTGTTCGGTTCGATTAATTCGCGGCCGGTTATTTGATTCCCGATTCGGGTGCACGACCTGCCTATTGATTTTTTTTAATTAATAATATAAATTATAAATATATAAATTATATTATTAAATAATAAAAAGGTATTGCAATTGATCTGGGGTCTGTGGAAATGGATTCTTGGGTCTTTCAAATTTAATATATGGTGGTATTGAATTGTATTATAGATACCTTATTATTTCCCCTATGAAGTAACCAATTGGTTGATTAAATGGGTATCATCTTACCATTGGTTTGTTAATGTATTTATCTGTTTTCTACCATGCTCATGGATTATTAGTTCCCCCTATGAGGTAACCAGTGGGTAGATAAAATGGATATCATCTTACCTTTGGTTATTTACTATATCATGCTCATGGGTAACCATATGTGCATTATTCCACCTATGAGGTATAACCAATTGGTTGATTAAATGGGTGTCACCTTACCATTAGTTATTTCATTTATCGATTTGTTTTCTACCATGCTCATGGATAATCATATGTGCATTATTATTTTCAATCTTAGGCAACCAATAGGTTGATTAAATTGGTATCATCCCAGTATCGGTTATAGTTATTTTTTTCTATCCTATTCTTTGGATAAGCAGGGGTCCACTACCACTTCCCTTATAGGATACCCGACCAATTGCTGGATTAAAATGGAATGGGTGCCATCCCTTTATAGGGTATGTACTATATCACTATATCTATTCATTTCAACCACGGTGGTATCCCCATATACCTTTGATATAAAACCACAAATATTATCCCTGATGGTCATTCCTTTACTGAAGGACTAATTTTCCCCATTATTTCTATGTTTATATCATATCCATTATCCAACAGAACCTTCAACCCCACACCACCACCCGGTGGGTGGTGGCCGGTGGCCACCACAACCAGTGAGCAGTTCCTGCCAGTCGGCTGGGATTTTGGCGGATGGGCCCGGTGTGCTGTCTACCATCAAAATATTACCCCGGGTTGCTGGAATCTACAAAGGACAATTTTTTCATTAACTATTCCCCATTCATGGTGATGTTAATACTGGTACTAAATATGTGCAGGTTCACTACCAGGATTTTTATATAACGGATGTTACGTTTCTGTTTTCCGCTTAGATTTGAATTTTATATCTGTCTCTGTGACAAAGAACCCTAGATTCCAATACTATAGCGTTAATGTGTATACAATTACAAGCCTTGAAGCAAAATCAGGCAGATTTCATACGATAAATATCCATCTGCAATTTTCAAATCCGCAAAGATCCTTTTCTGGACCTTTCAATCAGAATTACAGGGAAGAAGCATTAAGCAGTGATATCTAAAATTACTTTACTCCGAGTGATCCCCACCCTGGCATTTCAAGTCATATATCCTGACATATATTTTGACATTTTACCTAACGTTCTACCTGACATCTATTCTGATATTCTATCTGGCATATCTTCCAGCATTTTATCTAGTATATATTTTGGCGTTCTATCTGGTATATATTTTGGCATTCTATGTGGCATTCTTTCTACCATATATTTTAGCATTCCCTGTGGCATTCTATGTGGCATATATTCTGGCAATCTATTGGCATATATTCTGGCAGTCTTTCTGGCATATATTCTGGCATTCTATCTGGCGGTGCCCACTGAGCTCGGAAGGTCCCAGGTTGAGGTCCAGCCGTGCCCACTGGGCTCCGAAGGCCCTAGGTTGAGGTCCAGCGGTGCCAACTGGGCTCGGAAGGTCCCTGGTTGAAGTCCAATTCAATGGTGCCCACTGCGCTCAGAACCTTGCGGTTGAAGTCCAGCCGTGCCCACTCAGATCGGAAGCCGGCAGTTGAGGTCCAGCAGTGCCCACTGCGCGCGGAAGTTGGCGAAGAGATTGGCGAAGAGTTGGCGAGGCGGAAGTGGACATGGAAGTGGAGGCAGAGGTGGTGGAGGAGAAGGAGGAGGACGAGGAGGAGGTGGAGGAGAAGGAGGAGGAGGAGGTGGAGGAGGAGGAGGAGCCGGAACAGCCGTGATAAAATCTAAGAACCCTCACCTGGCAGGTGGGGAATTCAAATTATTAAGTTAGTTATTTTGTCCCAGAACTATCTTTTAACAATGGTAAATTTAGATATTAGCTTTCCAAGGCCCAACCACACGGATGATTACATATCAAATTCCCTTGGCTATTATCATTGACATGGATTAACCAAGCTCAGACCCCTTCAGCTGAGCTATAAAACACTGGCAGCCCATGTGAAGATAGGTTCCATTATCGGAAAATTGTTCTGGTTTAGGCATAGGTAAAAAACAATCATCAGGGGTTATATTGTTGCCTTCAAATGTTAATTAAGATACTGCTATATATTCTATTAGAGTCCTTGCTCACCTTTGTGACATTCCTGGGATGGCCTCCAGCTCCACAGTCTCGAAAATCTGTCCTTGCTCACCTTTTCTTCACACCCTCGGGACGGCCGCCAGCTCCGCATTCTCACATGGCTGCAGCTGCCAAGATGCATGCAGCCGGGCTGCTCCACAGAGCAACTCCATTGTGCCAAGTGTGGCCAAACTAGCCCAAGATCAGCTTTGCAAACTGGCAACCCTCATGGGAGTGCTTGGTCTTGGACATAAGACACAAGCCATACGCGCCACGCTGGGCCGCCACGAGCTCAGGCAACTTCGTCCCAAGTCCAATGCCTTGGAAACGCGGGAGCACGACCAACCGTGTCTCAAGCCACTGTGTGCCGCCGTTTCCCTGGCCAGATAAGTCGCCCGCAAGTCCGGCGTCATAGGCTGCTCTTCAGATCGCGGAAAGCACGCCTTGAAGGCCTTGTATTCTGGCCACTCCTTGTGCAAGGTGCACCTCGTCCTTCTTCCTGCCCTCTCTCAGAGGGAAGTTGATAGCCATGATAGGGGTGGGTAAAATATAATCAAACGAAGACTGATGATGAAGAGCCAATGACAATGATGACAATAAATTGGGATGTCCCAAACCAAATTTCTCCTAGGGGTATGGGAGGTGCTGGGTGGCTCTTACCTGCCAGACGTCCCAAGCCACTGTCCCCGCAGGAGCTCAACCACCTATGGCCTATGAAAGCTCCCACTTTGACCTTCCAGTTTCTTTCCCCCATCCCTCACCAATACAGTCCTCATCCCCCGTAGTATTTGCCCCACTCCGCTCAACCATGTGGGAGCCACGCTCAAACCAGTTGGGAGCTAGAGTGGGGCTTGACAGCACAGCAGTTGGTTTCCACCTGCACACAGTACAGGTTTAGGAGTTTCCAATCACCACCAAAAGGTTTGAATTTTGGAGTGTCTTGCTGGTATGTGAGAAAATGGGATATACCCAACACTAGTTCTTTCAAATGGGGATTTGCTTTGACAAAAATGAACAGGCAAACCCACTGTGAAAGTAAACATCCTTATAAAAACAACTGCCTAAACTTCCCATTTGTGGAAATGCATTTTGCACCTACTATTGGCTCGGGAAACGCAACACGGATGATCATACAAGGGGCCTGACGGAAGGCAGGGTCAGCTCCGCTGGTTGGATTGGAGGATATTTATTGTTAGGAACCCAAGCTAATTTCTAAACCCCAAATGGTGTCTTTTTTCAGGGCAGCTCAAGCTAGTTTCAATAGATGATTTTCCCTGTGCTTTCCTAGCTGAAGATCCCATGTAAACCTTAGCATTCAAAATGGTTAGTTGGGTTTCCTTTGCAATGTCAGAGCTGGGTATTAGACTGTGGTGTGTGGGCCTTTTTATTCCCCAACCAAAAAAAATATAACAATGATTTTTTAGTAGCTTCTCACTTCAACTGATCATCTGACAAATTATGTTCAATCAAACCAAACCAGTGTTTCATTACAGTGATATATTGACGCAAAACAATTCGACATAGTAGCAATGCGATGGCTTGTGTCAAGTTGAGGCGCTATGATATGGATGATGTATACTTTTATTTCTTAAATATAATGGAGAATGGGGCAAAGAAATAGCTCATAAACTCCCACAAATGTTTCAATTTTTAAGCCACACCAGCAGAGTCTGGCACCCCCACCGCCTCAGGAACCCAAAGTCCCAGGCTCGTCACATGGCCATTTGGCTGCAGGGCCTGGGTCACATGGGCAGGTCTGGGTGAACCCCAAAAAATATATAAGTAGTCCAATTCCATTGATATCAAATGTGCATCCCAAATACATTCGCTTTTACGTCAAATGATAAGTAGGCAATAATAAGGGGAATTGGCTCACCAAGATTTGTAAGGCCTGCAATTGATCACGCAATTTGGTGTAACCAGCATGTTTTCCCAATGCTCCAAAGGCTGTGGAATTTTGTGTTTGACAAACGCGCCGGGTGAGCACACGGAAGCATACACAATAGCAAGAGTATGAATGCTATTTGTTTTCATTCCTGCCCACCCGCACTGTGGCCATGGACAGCGTTCCAGCAGTTTGGTTTGGAACCTGTAACATCATTGGCCACCTTTCTGCCGCTACCGTTTCTTCCGCCAGCCACTCACAACATGTTGGGACCAAGACAATTAATTGAAAGTGGGGGTACCCCGAGATATAAATTTAATGGTTCAAAATCCAACCTGAGTGCTGGGATACCCTGGCAGTAGCATGAAACAGTGAAACTATCGCAGGGTGTCTACCAAAAGTGACTGACCGACATCAATCTCAACACCCTGGGTAGCAACAACAACTGGTCTTTGGGGCTGCAATCCCTGGGAAGTCTGTTTGACATGCCATGCAATCCCTGTCCATTCACTCTCCCACTTCAACACTGGACTGGCATTCTTTGCGCACGTGGTTTGGTTATTCTTGTCCTCATCCATGCGCGGTGTGAACAGCAAGTCTTTCACCTCTGGGGACATGTCTTTAAGGAAGTGCCAAACTGAAGGGCCAAACTCAAACCCATACTTATTCAACATAAACCCTAAGGTCAAGCTAGCCTTCTGGAGATTTCAGGAAATATTTATTTCTAAATTCCAATTTCAGACATGTTTTTTTACATTGCATGCCCAGCCTTTTTCAATTCCCACTTCTGCTCTACCTTCTCCAGTGTCGCCTCGTAGTACTGAAGACCTGGCTTATCGGGGGCTTTCAACCGCTGGGCCTCCAAAAGGTCACCAAGGTAATGCGCGCGCCCATCCATGATCACAATTTGGTCTGCTGACTTGATCAAGTAGTGAATCTCATGGTCTTGAGCAGCCGTCTGCTCACCACCAAATCGAAAATTGCCCCGGCCGAACCCGCAAATGCTGGTACCCTCTGGAATGCACACCTTGGAAATCAGATAGGTGCTATCATTACAGTACACATCACCCTAAAGGACCATGGGATGAAACTGCTCACAATCTAAACAGAACAGATTGTGGAAATGAATTCAGCTATATATCCCAAATCCTATATATATATATATGTACATATATATATATATATATATTCATAAGCTGACATAGAATTTGGGGTAAAATTTGGTGTTTTTTTTGGGGGAACCGTAGCAATTTTTGATATCAAGAAACTTTCTGTTCACCAACATTGGTCACAAAGATGGCCCCAGTCTGGATGACAAGATCAATGTTGGAAAGGTTGAGGAGGTTGACCCTTTGCAACACTGTTTCCTCAGGCTCCTTCCCCTTCTCCCGAAGCAGTGGCCCAAACATCGACATGTCAATTGGTTTTGCCCCAACTTTCTGCACTTTGTTGGGGGTATTGGTGGTTCCTGCCGCTGCCGACGCATTTCGTTTGGCCCCCTTTTTTTCTGGTTTGGGAAATTCCTCATTGAACGTTTCCATCCAAGCCCGGAATTCGGTGCCATGAACTGGGTTGGAATGCCACTGTTTTTGAACCTGATCGGGAACCTGGATTCCAGCAACTTCACCATCCACCTGGGAGGGCAAGGATGAAAGCATACGAAAACATACAACAGGAACATGGTAAATGTAGAACTATATTCAACCCAATATTCCATACCCCAAACATCATTTGAATGACCGTTTGGTACCTTGATGAAAGTCATCTTCTTCATTTGGGGTGGGTCAGGTTTTTGGTCCATGTGCTCAGGAGGTGGATCTGCCGCTGGAATGGTGATGCCATTCGGGGGTTGTACTTGTCCTGCCAAGAGCTGGTCAGTCAAACTCTGCATCAAGCTGTCGGAAAGCCATTCCTCATGGGAAGAATCAAGCAGTGCTGCATATCGCACAGGGATATTCAAGGAAGAACTGAGCATCAAAGCCGCATGTGCGAAATCACCAACCACGGGGACGTAGTCAATGATGTACAGGCAGGTCGCTGAGGACCAGGTCACTCCTTCCTTAAAAACTGTCCAGTGGAAACCAATCAACACCGAATCTTCTTCCGGCAACATTCAGGGGAAGAAACGTGGAAAAAATGAAACACGGTAAGCTAAGAATCAGTCATGCTCTTCAACAACGAAAGGGCCGCATCCTTTCCAACCTGCGCATACTTTGTTCCACCACGCACTCGGTCATCAACATTTGAAAGCGGGAGCTTGTCAGCTTCCTCAATCTGGATCAGGTCCTGCAGGGTTACAAGGTTTATCCTTTGATCGAAGAATTGGAAAATTGGGTCCATTTTTGAACACTTTGGAAACAGAATGTCAATCCTTCTGTGACAGCTGAGCAGGTTCATCAAGGTTTCTCCCGTTCTTAGCAAGGGCACAGTTTCGCCACACCCATTCATTCATCTTGTCATTCTTGTCCATCATTGCGGAGAGCAGGCGACATGGGTATGTAAGTGGCCGTTGGTCTCTCTGGTCCTTAATCAGAAGTATCCCCCCTATTGAAAATATCAAGGTGTCATACATGCACTAAGGGACCCATGAACCCAACAAAGAACTTTGAGTGTGACAGGCACACACACACATCATATCTAAAATCAAAACACAAAAAACACATAAACAAGAACAACATGTAAACCAAAAGCTAGCTCTGAATCCACAAAAAAGTATCAGACTTGCTTTTGGGGTCGAAGCACAGCTGCACGTTCATATCCACCAACACACTGTCCAAATGCAGTGCTTTCAAAACCATGTGCTCATCCATGAAGAGTGTGCCCGGCTTGTGGGAAAAGATTGGAGACAGCAAGATTCCGATCGTGTCCTTCGGTGATGCCATGAAGTGGTGGCCAGTGATTTTTGTTGCTGCTGTCAGCACATCGTTCTTCACAAGAGGTGGAGCAGCAAAGTTCAGCACATGAAGAGTCACCTCAGAGATTTAAAGACCACTGAAGAAATGCCAGCCCCATGCCTACTGTGGAAACACTCAGCTGCAGGTCCCAAAAGCTTTCCAGCCCAACAGGGAAAACAATTTCAAAGCAAGGAACAACATGGTTGCACTTGAGGGTGTGAGCCCATGCCTTGGAATCAGCCGCCATAGTTTGCACAATCTCTACGGCTGTGCCGGGCAGGATCTTCTCAGGCCAGGTGGTGGTGAAAACCTCAGGGGAAAACCATTAAAAAACTCATCACCACAGTGTAAAAAAATAACATTGTTGTGAGAAACGTTGCGCAAACCTACCAATAGTAACACAGCAGGACGAGCCTTAAACGATCTATTTTTCAATATTTTTTCACAGGTTCATTCAAACAACACACCTTTTTGTCCAGAATCTTCGCCGCTCCTGCTTTGGCTGCCTGGTGCCTATCGATTTGCCACCGATCCTTCTGGTGATAGAGTCGTACGTCATATTCCTTCAGTTTTCGCTGGTGAACTCGCCAACTCTTCACATCAAAGTCCAACTCCGTCATCAACAACTGGTAGGCCTGATGGGCAACCTTTTGCTCTCCAATTTCCACTGCCGATTGCAATTCTATGGAAGTACCGTCTGGGCCACTTTTGCCACCCATGTCATTCAGGATGCTCGCAATACCTTTAATCATATTGTATATTCAGATGGAGAAGAAATAAGACGGTAAGCTAGCTATTGAACTATCGTATCTTAAATCAAAATTTGATTTGTCCAAGCTACTTGTGTTGTCTCGGGCAACATACTTTTCACTTTTTGTCATCAGAGCACTCCGCAGCTCGGTTTCCACAATCGCATCCCCAGCATGAAGTTTGGACAAATACCTTGTTCTGCTTTGTGCAGTTTGAATCCACCAAATCAAAAGGTACTTGAAAACGAAAGAACTAGCAGCTATTATAATACTGAGGAAGGAGCAGACTTGTTAATTCACAGGGCGAAGAACCGGTCCCGAAGTTCTTTCTCAGAGTTTGGGACTTCCGCCGCAACCTCCTGGATCAAAGCACCTGATGACTGCACAGGTCATAGAAAACAATGCCCTGAAACCATTGGTATAGGCCTTAAATACATCATGAGTTTACACTGCCCCAAAACATTGAACATTGAACCCAAGGGACAAGCCAACGCGCAAATCTCAGCTTTCTCCTCCAGATGGGCCTTCAGCAACTTGCGGTCTGGATTCTTGCAGTGCTGGCTGTGGATCATGGTAAACATAGCCAGGCAACTGTCCTTGGTAACTTTGCCTCGTTCCACCCATGGGGACTTGCGGGGCACTGCGCGCCCTTTGAAGGAATACCCGGGGAGGTACTTCTTGCTGCCGAGATTGTCATCAGTGTAGGGGGAACCTCATTGAGGAACAGCAAATTTCATAATAAAACAGTTAGCAACTTTTTTCGAAACCCAAAACAGGTATCTCTTTCAAAATGAGGTGCCCTTTTTGGCCCTAAAAATGTGAGCTCTAAGAATAAAAAGGCGCGGCATTTTGAGACATCCCCAAATAACCCAAAGCGAATCCCCAACCATTCCGTGAAACAAACACAACAAACACAGTATCAACAAGATGACAAAGCATTGCTAGGAACCATCAAAGCCAAACTCACTCACTGTTGCCAGTAAGACTTCACGACATTGATTGGGAAGATCCAAGATGGATGTCACCGAATTTTTCTTGGCACCAGCCAGCCGATCGTCCCGTGAAGCTTCATCATTCCTGGTTGGGGTCCCCATTCAAAACATGCATCAAATATGTGCTGAAAGAGGGTGCCCCTAATTCCAATGAATTACAATTAGTATCATTATCCCATTCAACTGCTATTTGAGGGTTTTACAGTTGTACACCATTTTCGGATAAACCGTTATCCTCCAGAAACAAACAACACCAAACAAAATTTAGTAGTGACATGGTTTGGGCCCTCGTGCAAAGTATGCATATAAACCATGGGATTGTAAAAACAAAACTCACTTGAATGTAACAAATTGACAAGGCACCAAGCTCGAATCATGCTCGCTGGGTCACTATGGGTCCATGACGCTAGATTGATGAAGCTGTATACAAACGAAAGAGCACTTGGTTTCTGCCGGATACCGCCTCTGACCGATTCCTTCATGTTGAAAAACCTTAACTCCATGTTGTGCGTGGTAAAGACAGAAAACAAACAGGCCAATAATACTCTTGACTTCATTGGGGGATCCCCAAATTTATTCTTTCTCATTCGCAAGAAAATCGGGATCCCCTATTTTGAGAGATTTCAATATAATTTGAGGTGGCATTAACGACCAGTGGTACTTCTACTTTGTACTCCATTTTGTGGTAAAGATTTTTGACTCCCTTCTGGGGGGTATCATTTATTTTGGGATTGTAAAAGCAACTATTTCATGAACATTAATTAGGCTGGGTACAGCTCCGCTTGCTTGTTTTGCAAACGCATGTGCTTGCACTGGATCGCAGACAAGGTCTTGTAAAGCAAGGGGTCAGTAACCTCGACAATATTCTTTTCAGGGCCCACATCTAATGCATGGAGCCAACATTAACCACATGGCTGTTTGCCAAGAAAACTTTTTGTCCAACCCCCCTAACCTGAAGAGTGCAGTTTGTGTGCTTGACCAAGTAGATCACCAAGGCCATAACCGTGTGCACCCTTGCAGCCCCTTTCAAGAACCACAAAGATCCGGGTGGAACTGCTGTCTTGGAAAGAACCACTGCATCATCCTGAACGGGGGAACATGATGAATAAGCGTCTCATAGTCATTTGGAAACTTGGGCCACCAGATTTTTTTTTGATATGGGGCGCCTGCCAAGAAATCACCAAAAAAGAGATACATGAATTGACAATCTTGTGCTGATTTTTTGATAGGTGTTTTATCCCATTATTACCATTCCATTGGGGGTATCATAGTTACCAATAGTTACCACTTGGTCCAGGACTAGTATCCCACCTGAACCCGTAGCATCACTGGTTCACCTTGTGTCACAAACCCGTCAGTGGCATACTGCTGAAGAAGCTTTCCTGAGATGTCCAATGCCGTCGGCTCCCTTAGGCTTGATTCATTCTGAACGCTAAAAAGCCACAGTGGAACCACGAAGGCGGGATGCGACTCCTGCTGTCCTGGATCCAACACCGCCACACGGTTGCATTGGATGGGCTTGGCATTTATTGTTCAACACCAAGATTTTTTGGAACACCTAAATAAAACCATTATCATTTCGATGATTTGGATATTCTAAAGGGTCCTGGAAAGCAAGAAGGCAAGGGATAGTTTTCAACATAGTCCACATCCTGTGACTTGGGGATTGCATTCTGCAGCACCTTTGCCAAATCTTCAGCTCGTGCACCCACATCTGGAAACATACGATGCAGATATTGCCGGACACCCCCATGACCTAGAGATAGATGGTTTTGGGGAAACTTCCAAACTAGAATAATCACACCCAACCCATGTTTAAATCTTATAAAGGGGAAAGACCAGTAGTTCTTATCCTCAATATCCATTGTGATACAATACTTCAAGGGGAAAAGGGGTTTAGTTCATATCCTGAATTAATACCAAAAAACTCTTGAACTCCTTGAAAGCTAGATCGAAGAGCTTTTCCTTGTTGCTTAAAACAACTTCGGACTGAATGGTGGTGATGGACATCTGGTCAGAGCAATCACTTGGAAATAGATCCCGGGCAGTGCCACTTGCGCCATGATCGCTCTGCATCTCCTGGGGCCCGCTCTTTCTTTTCAAAGACCTTTCACCCAGAAAAAACAATTCGAACGATCATCTTTCATTTAGAGGTAGGGGTTTCCTTTTTAGGAACTACTCATTAATTATTCCCCTTTTTTGCACATATCCATGGCCAGAAAGATTCCATACGCATGTCACCTCCAGATCTCCATTAGGAAATCGGGTATGCCCATGATGAGAGATACATAGATGTTTAGAGGGATGTTTGCTGTGAATGGTCTTAGGACTTATATATCTAAATGATTGATTAAGAGATGTTAGGGATCCCAGGGAATGATGCCCAAAACATGTCTCTTTGAATGATGGACATGATCCAAAAAATGCTTCTTGATGGACATATGATCCAAAAGGGTTTGGGGCACCCATATCTTTAGACACCCCCATCTAATCTATATATTATTCCTGATAAATTCGATGGTTTAAAGCCATGTCAAAGTAGTACTTGTGGGATTTGTGGAAAACCGAAATAGTTGAAAACATCCCCATAAGAATGCTAATCTTCTACCTGAAGTTTTGGCCCCGGCCCCAACCCAATCCTCATCTGAGTCAAGCCATGCCTGTGTGTCCATGGTCTCCATCGCACCGAGAGCCCGACAGGCAAGGGTGAGAGGACGGATGGTGGAACCCAAAATCCTTTACATGCAATGTCCAACAGCAAATTTGCCGAAGTCAGGGCGCAGAAATCAGCACCCTGAGTTAGGAAAAAAAAAATTGACGATATCCTAGGTGCTTGGTGGGGTATTGCCTAAGTAAGGTCGCAAAAATCTGCACCTAGACTTGGGCAATACAGAGGTTGTACCCTGGGATTTAGGGAAAAAAAAAATTGCCGATCTCAGGGTGCAGAAATTGGCATGTGGACTTGGGAAACAGCACTACTATTATATTCTACAATGATTTTTGCCGCAAAAGATTCGGGGTCCTTGATTTTGAGATTTAGGAAAAAAAAATTTGCCGATCTTTTGGTTTGGAGGATCCCGTATCCATCGCAACGCATAACAAGTTTTTTTGTTGGGGGTTGTGCTTCGAGGACCCAAATTGACATAAATGCATTATTTCCTTGCCATTGGTCCGACAATGGAAGGATAATATATACCCATGACCCCAAAACCAATCTTAAGCCAACCCAGAAATAATATCAACATTAATATTTAGATTTCGTTTGGGTTCCCACCCGACGTGACTACCAACCACCCATAACCACTGGGTGAGCCAGCATCTCCACCAGGCCCCAAGCCTGAGCAAAGCAGGCAATAAATAAATGCAGTGGTGGATTAGGGGATTGTTTTAAAACATGTTGTTACATGTATCGTCCCCCAAAAAGGTATGCAACCATGCCCTCGTATAATACCAACCAAGATAATCCCTGGAAGCTACTTTCTTGCATGTAATGAGGACACATGGACATATTATTTTAGAACGATTTGTTGTTACAGGATATAAAACGGAATTTTGACATTTGAATTGAATGGTGGTTCCAACATTAATGGGGTCTCCATACCTTCTTTTTACCCTGGGATGTTTGTGAAATACCAAAAAAGCTTGAAACCATCATTCAAGAGAAACTTCTTTACAATTTGATGGTTGAGATCTGGAAAAATCAGTCATTCCACAAAAATGAAGTGCTCAAACATTGGTAGTTTAAAACTGATGGGGACAAACCATTCACTATGTATTCGGTCATTGCCAAAAATTGAGGAATAAACCCAGGCAATAATTTAATGAGGATAAAATGCACCCTTAAATATTTGATTTGCATTTCAAGTTGAATTAGTGGGTTGTAAATCCCATGAGGAATTAAAGGTTGCCTGATTCATTTTTTTGTAACACCGCCTTAATTTTAGGGAAAGAACTAAGGACATTTGCCCCAATTCCCCTTTCAACTTAGAAGAAACCAATTGATGGTGGCAATCGTTAAAGCCCAACGTCTCCCCCCAGCAAATCTGAGGCAAGCTCTTCCTTGCCCATTCATCATCTGCACCTACAAAAGGCAGTAGGTGAACCCAGTGGGTGGAACCAAGGTTCATGGACCCTGGGGAACCAAATCAAAGAAGATGCACAATTTCAATTTTGTTCCATTGGTTCAGAAATAGTGCACGAGCATTGTTGCTTTAATGTTTGGGTGATCAAACCATTTTATAACTCATCAAAATATCAATACCAAATTTGTATTATTGTCAAACAGCATCGGGAAATGGCACTTATAGTCTAGATGTGTAACTACTTTGTTCGATTACTTTGTGGTTGGGGTATAATCTTGACCATTACTTTTTTCTCACTGAATTTTTGTCAAGTAGCGAAGGGGACCGTTTATGAATATGAAATTATGTATTTAACCAAAAGGTGAAAATGGAGCATTCAAATGGGTAAGCTTTCATGCGTTGGAACCCCTTAGGACCCTGGAAGCTCACGGATACCCTTGGCCCAGACAACCGCCATCCCATCCCACTAATATGAAAAGATTCCTGGAATCACGAACCGAGAAACACCCCAATCTACTTCTTGAAAATAAACTTATTCTTTTGGGGTAAAAACTAAGCAGTGTCCAGCACCCCGGATGAGAATCAAAAAAGCGTTGTTTCTTCCACTCATCCCCTGAAGTCATGATCACTGCCCTTGGCATCGCTTCTCGCAACTAAAGACAGCTTTGCACAAAGTCTCCACCATTCGCTGTGGATAATGTTGGGCAAAGTGGGATCTTTTTTCATTCCCTTCAGTGCCCTCAATTTTTTGATGTTGGTGGGATTTGTCACAATAGTTGCCATCCATGGCAGCTATGATTTCAGGGACATTTGTCAGCATGCAGGTCCGCTTCTGCATCGGTGTCTTTGTTTCCTTAGAAACAAGACCATACATACATTGATCAAAACTGATGAGCTTGATGGACTCGTCCAGCTGCATCACACGTTGAACCTTGCCAGGAGGGCTGGTGAGGAAGTTAAAGCTAACTCTATATTTTTCAAGAGGGGCTCGAAATCAACAAAGTGGTTTACGTGGTTTACAAAGGAACAAATTCAAAAAAACATAAGATGTAGTAACCGAAGCCCTGCTCCACGCTAGTGAGCCATGTGGATGTTCCAGCCCAAAGTATAAACCATGTTTGACTTGATAAGCCATCAGCCAAGAGCAAAGGTCAATGTAGCCCAAACCATCCTCAAGGTTCAGGAATTTTTGCTGTCCTCGCATGCGAGACCAGTTCGAAGCCATGAGCTTGCATAGGTAGGTGCATGGAGGTGAGAGGCTCAAGTAAAACGGTCTAAAGGTGGAGATGTCCTGAAGCAAGGTACGTTGAAACCCTTCATTCCCCAAATTGAAGAAGTGCTGTATGTCGTAACTTCGGCGGCAGGTGCCACCAAGCGCCCGAATGCACGGAGCCAACCGTGGGACCGAAAAGATTTCCCACAGGGTGCAGCGATCAACGTAGTTGGACGGCACTCTTTCCAACATGGAGCACATGTCTGTGTAGGGCATATCAACCACCGATGGAATCAATGCTGCAGCATGCTTTAGCGAAGCATGACTCCACTCCCTGAGCTCATCTTCTGTCGGCTCATCCCTATGGTCCTTAGGGAGAACCACATGCTTTTTCCTGGCCTGAGCAAATTTCCGTGAAATCGGGGCAGCCTTGCCCTTCGGAGCCAGCTTGGCCTTCGGCAGAACATGAGGTGCACTCAAAGTACCACTGTGGAAGAAGTCAATCTCTCCATCATCATCAGGAGGTAGATCTGAAGCTGTGGTGGGCCCAATCTTTCTTGATGAGCTCGATGAAGGTGCCATCCCAGAAAGCGGCACTGTCACATCTTCTTTTTTACTCTTAACACCCTTCACAGGTTTCACAAGTTTCCGCTTTCTGTTTCCATTTTGAAAAAGGTCACCCAAAGAAATGCCATCATCAACTGGGGGCAAATCGAAATTGGACATAGCAACATGTCCTAACTTGAGGCATGGAAAATTCTGCATGGATGAAGACCATAGTCAAAGTAAACCACACTAATGAAACGTTGCAGTGTGTCAAATGTGATACTTTCAGGAAATGATACTGTGAGTGAGGTTTTCCCCAGTACCATGATTAATTTGGATGTCTCAAAATGAGTTTGTATTAAGGGGGAAAAGGCCACCTTGTTTTGAAAATCCCCATGAGTAAATATTAGTAACCATTGATGTATTCCAAAGGATAACACACCAATTTTCCCAGCTCCGGTCACTTTGCTCTCGCCATCAGATCCGTAGGCCCTTTTTGGGTAGCAGATCACCAAAATAGCCATTGAACCAACTTTGCTTTCCCCAATGGATTGTGTTCCACCCGGGTGGCGTTGCCAAGTCAACATTTGTGTTGAAAAAATCTGCCAAGCAATGAGAAATCAAATTGGTTCAATACAACAAAGCCACCTCAGGATTCTGGAACCCCCTCAGCAATCATTGGCAGTTGCCATTATGGTTGAAAACTCATTCAAGACCTACCAGAAAAGAAAAGTACCATCGAGAGTAAGAGGCTTCTACTGTTCAGGATTTGGCACGAACAGATCGGCCAGGTTTCTTTCCCCGACCCGGAGTTTTCATGACCTTCTTGGCTGTGCTCTTTGCTGCTGCTGCTTTGGGAGCCTGCTTTGCTTTGGGCATGGCTTTGGGTTTCCTAGGTTTGTACTCGGGCCGGCGGCAGGTCGAACAACCCTTAGGACTGAAGTAGCACCTGGGACACCCATAAACCTTGGCACGATCATCTGCAACCGGCACAGCATCGGGGGCAGCACCTTCAGCTGGGGCAGCACCTCCCACACCAACGACACCCTCAACCCCTTCACCTTGGTCAACCTGAGGGAGTTCAGCAATACCAGCACCTGGACCTTCAGCCTCAGCATTCGCTGCAGAAGCTGCAACCTCAGCATTCGCAGCAGCACCACCTGCAACCTCAGCATTCGCAGCACCACCTCCAACCTCAGCATTCGCAGCATCAACCCCATTCCCACCCTGGCTCAGCTGGTCGGGCACAGCAGCAGCATTGGGAACAAGAATGGGGTGCTTTCGAGGCCGCCCCCGTTTCTTGGGTTCGCATGCTTCCTTGGGTTCTGCTCTTTTGGGTTGGCGTTTTGGTTTGGGCTCTGCCGGGGGCTTCTGCTCAACGACTTGGATCTGGCGGACAGGACCCGGCGCAAACTTCTCCCACCTAAGCTACGTAGTGATCTGAAGAAATATATTTGGGATTTGTAAGGGTCTGGGTAACAATGCTCAGCTGATATCTTTGGTGTTGATAAGCTTTATTATTAAGTAACAGCTTACCACCGAAAACCAAACCAAAGAAACATTCGAATGAAATAGCACCGAAGTTCCCCGTAGGATTGGGTTCGACTCCAACAGGGCGTGTGTCAGCTTGGTGCATCCAAACCGGCATATGGGGAACGGGCCAGCTCTTCTTTTGATTCATATCCTTATTTGTTTGAGTTGTAGTAAAAGATGAAAGCCATCAAAATTTCAATATTTGTATATTAAAAACAGCTTTCGTCACAGGGAACCCCACTGACTAAGAAAATGATGTGGAACAAGTAGCACCAGCTGAACCATTTCACATCTAGGGTGAAAGCAATGTGGATGATCCTATCGGTTTGCCACCCCCACAGAAGGCATCAGAAGGTCACCACAAAGGAACAATGCAAAAAAGGAACCCCCCGGGGGATGAGGTAGCAATCCCTGGTATTCACGGGGCCCTAGATCCCAACAAAAGAGTTGAACAATTGTGGTCAACACGGCGGCACACCACACTCTTTTATCTGCTATGTGAGCAAGTCTTGAGCCACGGAGTGGCGCAGTGGTACATATATGAATTAGAGTGAACATGTCATATGTGATGCAAACTGTATGCATTGTGTAGACACGCCCCCCAAAAGTAGACTACAGGGGGGGGGTCCTTTTTTGGGTGTTTACTTGGATCACCAGCCCAAGATTCGATCCAGTGACGAAGCTCCTCCGCAGCCCGGAGAAGATACCAAGGTTCTTGCTCAATGACTCGCGCAGTCTTCAGAAACCTTGGTACGCACCGGGGAAGCTAAGGTCACTTCAAAATTCCAAAAAAATATCAAAAACCATTTGTTTATAACTGCTGGAAATGATGTACTTTTTAAAGTTTCAGTTTTCACAACAAACACCAAGGTTATGATTGTTTTGTTTTTTAATACCGGGGAGCTTTTTCAGGGATCGCTCTGGAATTGGATTGCGAAGAATCAGCTTCAAGGGTTCTTTGAGTTTGGCCAAGAAGTCCTTGGGAAGTGCCACCAAAGGCCTTTGAGACAGCTCGTTGCTGTTCACCAGCTCCTTTGCGAGAAAGATGACATCGTGATCACAGGGTGTGTAGCTGAGCTCCTTCAGGGTTGGACAAGGCAAACAACCATACACTGTATGGTGTTATGGGTGAGAGCCCAGCTCAACAAATATATTATGATGGTAACCTTTTGCCACCCCAGTCATGTAGGAAGTTATCGGGAACACTTAATATGTAGTGGGGTATATAATGAAAATCCATCACAAGAAACCCCAGGAAGTTATTGAGTCATCTCATACATTTAAGGGTTAGACCATACAACTGATAGTCCAAGATGTTCGGAACAAACACTCCTTTCCAGGTCCCAGCCCTTCAATCTCCAGTGGAGCCCATGACTCACCAGTCTTCTGGTCATACTTCGGAAGATCCTGATTCTTATGATTTGCTGCCACTGTGCTATAAGCCACTTAAATTGTGCAACCTCTTCCTAATACCTGAAAACCACGTATCAAAGGAACCCATGAAAATAATGACTTTCAATGCACAGAAAAAAATCATATATGAAGTTTACTTCAAAGAGTCCCATGACATTACTTCCGAATACATTCTGATATATATCCCAGCAAAAACATGTTTTAACACAAGTGTTACATCGCCGAATGAACCGCCAAGAGTGGTTCACCCGATGTTCATCCCCACCAACCGCACGCGCATTCGGAACCAGCCCTGAGATCTGAAGCCCCAATTGCTCCACCCAGGTCTTGTAATCCCAAGTCCCCTCAAGCATCCCGTTCTTCAACTCTCGGCCCTTCACTGGAGAAACCTTTGTGTCCAAGATCTTCAGAAAGTCCTTGGCCATTGGCATTGGGTCTGTGTGGAAAACAATTCCGTTTCAATTCTTTTATCTCTTTTGATGGGAACCACATATCCAACTTCATTTTCTAAAGAAGATCGCAGGCTCCCCTGGTGTTTGGATCGTGTCCTCATTCGAGAATGCACTGACGGCAATACTCAGCCTTTGATCTACTGGTCCATGTGTGTGGCCAACCTCCCCATAGATATGGGAGACGGACAGGAACCTGGTTTGCAGCTCAATGGGAAATAGACGTCAGAAATAAAAAAATACTTTACTTCGAGTGATCCCCACCCTGGCATTTCAAGTCATATATTCTGACATATATTTTGACATTTTACCTAACATTCTATCTGACATCTATTCTGCCATTATATCTGGCATATCTTCCAGCATTTTATCTGGTATATATTTTGGTGTTTTATCTGGCATATATTCTGGCATTCTATGTGGCATTCTTTCTCGCATATATTTTGGCATTCTCTGTAGCATTCTGTGTGGCAAATATTCTGGCATACACATCTGGCATATATTCTGGCAGTATTTCTGGCATAGATTCTGGCATTCCATCTGGCCACTGAGGTCCAGCAGTGCCCACTGAGCTCGGAAGGTCCCAGGTTGAGGTCCAGCGGTGCCCACTGGGCGCGGAAGGTCCCTGGCTGAGGTCCAGCGGTGCCCACTGCGCTCAGAACCTTGCGGTTGAGGTCCAGCCGTGCCCACTCAGATTGGAAGCCGGCAGTTGAGGTCCAGCAGTGCCCACTGCGCGCGGAAGTTGGCGAAGAGATTGGCGAAGAGTTGGCAGGGCGGAAGTGGACGTGGAAGTGGAGTCAGGACGAGGAGGAGGTGAAGGAGAAAGAGCCGGAACAGCTGTGATAAAATCTAACAACCCTCACCTGGCAGGTGGGGAACAAACTTAATCTTAGTATTAGAGCCATTCCAAACCAAACCTAGAAGTAAATCATTGCTACAGCATATCTCAGGCGCTTTCCCTTCGCCACTGCTTGGCATGACCATTTTGCTACGATGGAATTTTTCCCTTCTCGCGCGCAATTGTCGGTCTGCAGGGTATCACGGACAGGTCTCAAAAACACAGAATTGAGGAATGGGAAGCTAGAGGCTGTTGAATGAAACAATCTAGCCCGACCTCCAAAGACCTGGAATCGAGAGACTCCACGAGCTGCAAGAGAGAATAAAAAAGTATGATTTTTTCTGACCCCCACCACCCCACAAGTCCAATATTGGGCCAGAACCAAGCCTCCAAGACCAAGTTTGTGGGCATGGAGCACTTGCGAGATCGAAGGATATCATGGGCCCAATCCAAAATGGTCTCAATCACAGTGATCTCACAACTCGAGTCATTGGGAACATCAGCAGGAACCACGAAGAATCCTTCACAAACCTCAACACAAAAGAAGTTTGATTTCAGGATAAATACTTAGGGGTTGGATCCCAATACCCACTGAACATCCCTAAAAATCACAAACAAGGAGCGTTGACCTGAATATTCAATCAAACAAGTAACGCCGTGGCAGATGTAGCCAATCAAGTGGACCTGTGGCCGCCACAGTTTGTCCAAGCTCTTGGAGGAAGAAAGATTTCTAGGCCACCGGGTCTTCGCTTGATCCAAGCCGTCCACAGAAATCATCAGACAAGTCTCCGTAGCGTCCACCACCGTCGACTGCTCGGACAATGTGGCCAGCCTGGCCTGTAGGGTCCGATAGGCTCGAACATTGGACAAATGGATATTCTGACAGTGCTCCAAAGCAGCCTTTTCGTCAGCCGTGTGGACATGCCCAATTCGAGCAGTGAAGTGAGCGCACTGGGAGCACCTGTCAGTCACAATTCATTGGCATTCCATAAATAAAATCTAGGTGAAACCAAGTTGCCAGTCAGTATTCATTGTTTGAGGGTTTATTTTTGATTTTGGTAGTCCCTAACTAGACAAATAAATAGATGTTAAAATGGCAACCACAACTTTTGTTCCCAACCAAACCTCGCATGCTGCGAAATCTCCCGCATTGGCATTGTCACCTTCCAGGTCTGATCATACACGATCCGGAAAGTCCGGTTGCTAGCACGCTCTTCAGGTGGGACCTTGTTCGAATCACACCAGCCACAGTAGATGTGGTACCATGCCTCCATGGTCATGTGGTGCACATGCCTGTATTGCAAAGCACCTTAGCACCACCACAGAAATTGATCATCATCCTATGGTCCATTAGGGATTAACATATTGGAAAAGACAGACAATCTGAAAAATGAACATTTTAAATGTTCGAATGGAAGACCCAGGTACCCTTTCCACCCATCAAGCCCGCATGGCCGGAACCGGTCACAGCGTTGGCCTTGGCACACGTCTTGTCTGAAAGCTTCGGCTCCAGCCCAAGGAGACTTGGAGGCGCATCATCGGTCACAGGGCCTCACAGGGAGACAGGAATGAGGCAAATGTCACACTATGTCTATCATGATCGTGATACAGCAAACTGTTTGAAAGTAATCCGCTTTTGGTGGATTTGTTTTAAAAACCAATAGCCTGGAAGGAAGTTACCGGTACAATGCAAGCGCGACACATATGGGTCATCTTCAACCGCTGGTGTCTCTGCAAGAGGCTCAGCCTCAAATTTGTTGGTAACCATTCCACTCCAATCAAATGGCCTTATCACACTAAGGCTCTAGGAGGTGGAAAGTAAACATGCACAAATATGTATATATAGATGAATGTAGTCTTTATTTTGTAATGTAATAGGATATAATATAATCTTTGTAAAAATAAAGATATTTATTTATTTATTATTTAGCATTTATATTTTTTTTATATTTTATGTATATTTATTTATACATACATTATTATATATAGATATACAATTAGTAATATATATTTTTATCTTAATCTATATTTATATATCTATACTACTACATATATATATATATATATACAAAATCATGTCCTGTCGAGAGGCCACGTTGTGGTAGTAATGGTTGAAAAATGCATCAGCCGATATGGTCTTCGGGTATTGCTTGGGACCATTGAATTTCCTCCTGTCGACTGGGACCTGGTTCACTTCAACACCACCCGATGAAAGCAGGCGTTGTACCTGGGGAAAGGCAGATTTCATAACACCATTCACATGATGGAATGGATAAAGCTTCACCAAGTTAATTTAAACATAGAAATTCAATGCCAGGTGCCCTTTTCTTGTTGATGCGCATGAGTGCAGCGAATCCATCACGGCAAACACCAAAGCCACATAAGGCATACTTCGTACGTCTACCTACCTGAAAGGGTTTTTTTCATCACCATACAACATAATCAATATATATAATAACCAATTTGAACATAATCAATGTAGCTGGAATCATTGGAATACAAAGGGATTTGGGGGACCAACCATGGGTACCTATACCAACTAGTTGTTGTTAGACACTAACACCAGACCTTGTCACATCTCCCCAGCAATCCGATGAGAAAAGCGTTCACCTCATTGTCAGTCATCTTGGAGAATTTTTCCAATGTTTCCTGAGATTTGTCAGAATTACCAGAACGTAAGGGGTAAGCCAATAGATAAAATTCTTCAAGGGTTATCTGAGCTTTGGAAAAACACATATCTAGATAAAAGATGCCAAGGATCATCCAAATATTCCGATCGAGCTTTGCTAGTTAGAAAGGTTTGGATACAATGAGATGTACAGTATTCGAAGGCTTGTGCCGGGTCACCCTTTGGAGCTGAGTTTCCATCCCTCAGTTCACTTTGCCAAGTTATTTGTTTCCTAAAGTCTGTATCCCCCGTATTCACCCCAAAAAAATCAAATATTTGTAACCCAATCTCCCACCATAATGTTATAGGAATTTAGAAGCAAACGACGATTTGGGAAAATGTCAAGTCACAACTTGGGAGGAAGGACTGCCCTGCGCTGCGGGGTCACCAAATGTGTCATCGGCAGTGACTGCGAAGCCTTTGGCATGCTAGGACCCTCCTCATCATCCGGGGGTAGCTCTGCCATGGCAGCAAGAAATCAAAGAGTTGCAGCCTTGAGATCGGAATAGGACATGCATCCCTTTCGAAATCTTGCCATATCACTGTCGAAGAATATCTAAACATTCCAACCCCGACACTAATTGTAGCCATCCCCAAAAAGGATGGAAACATGTCAAATTAGAATTGGTTGCACTTTTTACACATTTATGTTCATATATATATATAGCTACGCCCATATCAATATCTATTAGCATATATATATATATATGTATATCAACCTCTATATTGGGGCGTCCCTATCCAACATGTAGAAATCACCCCAAGGGAGCCACACATCCAGATCAGCCAAACCCGAAAATGGCGCCTTACTTCCCTCTTTCTTTGCCCTGCCGTCCTGCAATTGGAGGGAAGGGATGGCAATCTCATAGACCTAAGGGATGCAGCCCAGTTTGGGGTTCCAATGATGCCTTATCAATGTGGGTTTCCCACCAAGCAGGCCATACCACCCACTCCAGTCCTCCAAAAAGT